TTATGATAGGAAGAAGACTAATGGGACGGTAGTTAGACGAATCAGATCGCTCTCCAGAATTTTGAAAAATAGGGAAACAGATGCTGCTTTCCAGCATGATGGAAAACAAGACTCTGATAAGCACTTGTTAAATAGTTTTGAAAGGATAGATGACAGCTCCGGAAAACACTTCTGCAAGACTATAACAGGTATGTTGTCCGGGCCGCAAACTGTAGAAGAGTCTAAGCGGGAAATCACTTTAGATACAGAAGCTGGAGTAATACGAATGTCGAGCAATGGATCAACCTGTTTGACGGCTATATCAGGTAGAACTAGTGGCATCAAGAGATGATATTGATGAAAAGTTCTTGGCAAACAATTCAACTTTGTCTTTAGGTGAGGTGACAAAGTCTGAACCATACAAAAGAGGTGGAATTACAGACTTGCCCTTATTATTGATACTATTAAAGATTTCCAAAAGTCACGAGAGCCTAATTTTTGTGATGAAATACGAGATTTCATGATCTGAGAATAGCGGGCTTTGGCGTTAGACAAAACCTTTTTACAATGGTTCCTAGCATTAATAAACAGACGTCTGTTTTCTGGAGAATTGTTTCGCTGATAGATATGGAAGTAATGGTTTCGATTGGCAATTGCAGCAGCACAATGTGAGGAAAACCATGGAGAAGAGCGATGCTTGACCTGGAATCGTCGAGAGGAAATAAAGGATTCCATGCCAGCCTGAATCCGCGAAGTTATGTAAGAAGCACATTTGTCAACAGGGAGACGAAAGATTTCTATCAAAGGGCCATCACGAAGAAAATCACGGAAAAAGTCCCAGTCAGCTTTAAGGTATTTGTAAGATGTACGATGATAGGGGGATTCTGATGGTAAAGAAGAATGAGATAATAGTTTTAGAGAGACCAAACCATAATTAGAAGCACCTAAGGGTGAGTGTGAAGAAACTGAGCACTGACTAGGATCAGAAACAAAACATAAGTAGAGTAGAGAAGATTAATGATTCGGGTTGTCTGGAAAGCGAGTTGGAAAGTTGACTATTTGAGTTAGGGATTGAGAAACACAAAAGTTGTGGGCCTTAATGTCTGCAGAGTCACTGACACTAGAGCCAAGCCATTCAGTGTGATGAACATTAAAGTCACCGACAACAACAATATTGGCTGATGGATAAAGAATGAGGGCTTGGTCAATATAATCAGAAATAACATCAAGAAGAGTGCAGTCTTGAGATGAGGGAGAGCGATATAGAACAAAGAGAAAGGTGATAGAGTGAAGTGGTGCTAAACGAAAGCACATAAAAGAGTATTCTGTGGATTCAAACCTAGTTTTCCGACAAATGGGTGAATTCTTACGAATGTAAATGCCCAGGCCAAGCATGTGACTATTGGAGTCTTTACGAATTAAAGGAAGATAACCATCAACACTAAGATCACAAGATGAGACAGCTGAACTTAAATTAGTCTCACAAAGAGCAAGTAGGTCTGGTGAACTTTTCAAGAAATAAGATTCAACAGAAGAAAAGTTACTTCGAAGACCACGAATATTGGTGAATGATAGGTTTAGCGAACTTGGTGATGACTGTGGTTTTTTGTGTTTTATAGTTTTTGTTGCTTTATTCATTTTTAAATTTGTTAAAGAACTTGACTCGAAACATAGATAGTACTCATTACACTGTTTTATAGCTCAAGCGATTGCCTCATTTCCACTAATAAACCCTAAGCCGTAACAAAGGGCTCCAATGTGGCCTTGGCAATGCACACCGAAAGTACAAACAGGGACACCATCCATGCGCAACATGGCACTGTTAGTACTCTGATATTTTTCAGCTGTTGATGGAATCAGCCTCTCTGAGAGCTACCACAGAGTTCGGGAAACCTGACTACCAGCCGGCCTCAGAACCATAAAACTGAGTTTTAGAGCTGTACCCTCATTTGGAGATAATAGAATGAGTTGCCTAGTCATAAAAACAGAGACAAAACCCATGAATCGAGTCAAGAAAATCCAGCGTTCAACATTCTAAACTAGAAACAATGTATTAAAAATACATCTGCGCCAGCCTAATAGATGAAGAAGGGGTGCAAGGCTGGTCAACAGATAGAATCTGTTTACCCCTTAAGTCTTTGCCTAGGAGGCCTTCTACAAGACAGCAGCCGGATGCATGTAACATCTGGCCAAGATAAGTATTTTTATCGAGACACCATCTCTAGCCTTTACTCAACCAAGAGCCCCAAGGCAGGGGGTGTTTTATGTCGGAGTTTGCATCTTTGCCTTTGCCTAAAAAGACATATCCTACAAGGCAGCAGGATAAGAAGCAGATTGTACTGGGTTACATGTTACCAGTAGCAGGATAAACCTGACCTGACTTATAACTGATACTCTGAATAATTTTTTTGTTTCAGTTTTTACTAAAAGTGGCAGTTCTCAACTTCCAACAAACTTTGTGAAAACTTCAAGCTGCTATCAAGACCCTTAATTTAATAAAACAATATTTGAAAGCTACTTAAATAAATTAGATACAAATAAAGCTATAGGACTAGATAAAGTACACCCAAGAGTTCTCAGGGAATGCTAAGATGTATTGTCTGAACCATTATCAATCATATTTAACAAATCATTTCAATCTGGAAAATTACCTAATATTATTCCATTATTTAAAAAAGGTGATAAACTTGATTTAACTAACTATAGACCGGTTTCATTGATATCTATTGTGTATAAAACAATGGAGAAGATCGTTAAAGATGAGATGATGAAATATCTAACTGATAACAATTTAATTAACGCGAACCAACATGGTTTTGTAAACAATAAAAACTGTTTCAAATTTGTTAGAAATATTCGATTATATTACAAGCTCGGGCATTAGTGATTGTTTCTATTTCTTGACTTCGTTAAAGGGTTCGGCTCGGTAGACCATAAAAAATTATTATTTTAATTAAAAAGCCTTGGATTTGAATCTAAAGTATTAAATAGGTGTAGAGGCTTCTCAAAAAACAGATCGCATAGAGTGGTATTAGGTAATTTTGAATCAAAATGGGAGGAGGTTGTAAGCGGCGTACCACAACGTTCAGTTTTAGATCCTCTTTTATTTGTTGTATTTATTAATGACATAACAAAAAAATTCAAATTAATTTGGAAAATTTTTGTTGATAACACGAAACTCTAACGAGATATCAAAGATGTAAAGGATTCAATTGAACTACAACAAGATATTAGTTCATTAGTAGAATGGTCAAACGAGTCACTAATAAAATTCAATAAACAAAAATGCAAAATAATGATAATTGATAATAGTCAACAACAATTTGAATTTATGATCGAGGGCGAAAAAATAGTGAATACAAACAGTTTCGATTTAGGAGTTCTAATTTCAGACAATTTGAAATGTAATAATCATGTAAACTGTGCAGTGAACAAAGCGAATCAAAAACTTGGTCAAATCCAACAAAGAACAAATAGAATCGAAAGTTTACGAGGTTATATCTATGAAGAAAGACTTAAAACTGGATCTATTATCGCTTGGAAATAGAAGAAGAGGAGTTTTAATTCAAATGTTAAATTTTTTAAAAGATATGACATAATTAATTTTCACCGTCCGCCAGAAATTATTGATAATGAAAGAAAAACAAGTGGTCACAATTTGAAATTAATAAGACAATTAACAACAAACATGAAAAGATTTAACGTCGCGAAACTACAAATCTAATTTGCAAAATTAAATTTTTTAGAAATTATCAGTAAGTGAAAACGCGCAAAATCTTTCTGGAACACGTTTTAAGAACTAAATCTTTGAACATTAGCCATGTTAAAGTTATAGGAAAGTTAAGGCATGTGAAAGTTGCAGAAAACTTAGGAGACGACAAAGATTTGTTTAAGACAATCTCTTGTTTATTGTCGTTATATATTTATTATCTTAAAAATCATTGGGAATTGTACGATAATGAATATATTGCAAGATCTTGGAAAAAACTTTTCAGTAAAAAACCTACCTATAGTTTTGCGTTTAAATCATGCTAGAATTTTCAGACTAACTTTGAATAACTGACGAATTTTTTGTCAAAGGAAACATTAAAATCGCTTCTAATAAGAAGGAAATTTTAAGTATCAGTTCGAAAAGCCAGGATTTTACTGTATCCCTATTTCTATATGAATTTTACTGTATCCTATGTATCTTGAACATTTAAAGTTTAAAAAAGGCCGATTTTTTAAACTTTAAAAAACAGCTATTTCAGAAAAAGAATAATAATAAAAAAATCAAATTCTGTTTTTGTCGTGGTAAAAGTTTTTCGTACCTTGATAATACCCAAACCTTATCTAAGTCAATGTATGTACTGAAGCTTCGGCAGTTGCTTATTTCAGTACAACGTCATCAATGACGTTTTATGCAAAGTTAAGTACACAAAGATACTCAAGCATTTTCAGAAATTAAAAAAAAAAAACATTAATTTATTGTTTTTATAATTTTATTTTACACAAAGAAGATTTTCTTTTATTCTTTTTTTTTAATTAAAATTTTTAGATTTAGATTGAAACTTTTAAAACCCAAACTTTTTCCCACTCGGAATCTATTCCTTGATTTTCGAGGATCCGCATAAAGGATCAAGCGATTTTTTAAAACGAAGAAAACAAAATGATCGGCCTAGCAGTAATATCAAATACATTAAAAACCGTTGATAATAGTTCAAAACCTCTTTTTTTCATATTCGTATAATATATGAAAAAATTATATAAAAAAAGACAAAACAACATATATTTACTTTTTTTTTCTTTTGATTTTTCCTTACTTAAATTTATTTTTATTTTGCAGTTTCTAACGGCACACGAAATTTTATTGGCTGAAACTTATTAAAATTATAATTCTAAACATTTTTTTTTTTTACAAAAAACACAATTTTAAATTTCTTTAAACTGAACTGTAGTTCTGCTTTAAATAGCTAATCAGAAAATAATTTCTAAACAAAATAGCTTCACATTAATCATAAATAAGAACTTAATAAAAATCATAAATAATTATAAATTTATTCAACAAGATTACTATGTCTTAGTTTCCAATGTTTTTTCCGCATTTTTAAACATAGCCTTCAGTGCTTTGCTCGAAGCATTTTCTCTTGATGCCTCTACAGAATCTCCTGATCCTTGATAAACCTCTGGCGGTGTGGTAAAAATAGAAAGGTTTGATGAAAATTCCCCACGATTATCTTTTTTGTTCTGAATTTTTTAAAATAATCATTAATTATTGTTAAATATTTTAACATTTTTAAAAATAATTTTATATTAATTAAGTTGTTTAATATTTTAACATTTTTTATATTTAAGAAACAGAAAAATAAAAACCTTAACAAAGTCATTAAACATCAACTGGAAACCTTCAAGTTGAGCAATGTATTCTAATTTTTGTTTTGCTGAATCAAAATTCTTTTCTAATCTTGCAGATGTATCAATAGAACGACTAATCGAACTTCCAACAGCTTTACTCGACGTTGAGAATTTCTCATTCATATCTTTTACTAATTCATCTTCATGCAACTAAAAATTGCGTGAATTACAAATATGTTTTTTATAGCAAGCTCCAAATATGTTAAAAGAGAAATTAAAAATATGTTTCAAATTACAAATATGTTTTTTATGCTCCAAATATGAACTTAGTACTAACACTTCTAGTTTTTTGTGCCTCCAATTCATCCAAGTCGATTCCCAGACTTTTTAGAAGATTCATAGCAGCATTTGCCTTTGCCTCTCTCTTAGAATGACCACACCCAACAGATTTAAAATTTGTAATCGCAGCCTAGAAGAAAATATATAGATTGCATAAAATAACATGAGAAAATATAGTGTTTTTTATAGTAAACTTTAAATATATAATATAACTATAGTAAACTTTAAATTTTTTATTATAGGAATGGGATTATTGTTTGTTTGTATTACTTATGTTATTTGCATGTTCTTTGTTGAAAACACTCCATTAAAGTTGCAAAAGTAAGCAGTTTATATTCAGGTTTTATTTATATTTTTATCTATATATACATAATAAAAATATTTTATAATTTTTTAATAATCTATTACTATAATTATTTCGTAATTACACCAATGGTTTGCATACTACTTACACCAATGGTTTATAGAGAAAAAAACGCATACTGTTTCTGATTAAGGTTAATTTCATGCTTCTTTTCAATCCATTAACAAGTTGAGTAATTGAAAAGGCAAACAGAAAATGTATTTTGTATATAAAAACATACCGTATGCCTGCATAATAAGAATCCATTTAAAACTTGAAAGCTGATGTTCTTTTTGGTTAACAGATTTTTGACTTCGATTATTTTATCATTTTAATATTTATATTTAAACTTAATATTTAAAATTTTTGTAAAATAAATAGTATGAATATTTATTTAATGACATAAAATAATTATATTAAACATACAAAGGGTTACAAAAGTGTTCGTACAGTGAAATATTTTATACTTATCATCATATTTAAAACACTTAAACGTATTTATTAGTAAAAATTCTTGTTGAAATCGCTTTAACTATCTTTATTTAGTATATAACATAAGAAATAATACTTAAGTTAGAAAAAATTATGTCAAAAAATTATTAAAGATGAAAAATCAGTTTTTTGATGTTACAAAAGTCTTCGTACAACCCCTTTATCTGTTGTTTATGTTTACATTAGCTTTAAATTTTCTATGTTTTTGTTTTTAGCGTAAATAAAATTGTCAAATAGGATATTTTATGCAATAAAAAATTGGTAATTTTGAAAATGAAGCCTACTAGAAACGAGTTGCGAGAAGTAATGAAAAATCTTATTATTTCTCACCATCAAAATGGGAAATCACTGTCACAGATAAGAGAAATGCTTTGTATTCCAAAATCTACGGTTCAGTCTATTATAAAAAAGTTTTCTACTGAGGGTTCTGTTCAAAATAAACCAAGAACTGGCCGCCCAAAAATCCTTTCGGAACGAACTGAGAATTGGTTGGTACGAAAAATCAAGATGCAGCCTAAGCTGAGCGCTCCTAAATTGACTAAGGATTTAGAACTTGATCTAGGACAATCTGTAAGTGTGCAAACAGTGAGACGATGCTTAAAAAAACAAAATTTTCATAGAAGAGTAGCGAGAAAAAAACCCTTCATTTCTAAGAAGAATAGAAAAGCACGTTTAGAATTTGCTAAAAAGTATGTTTCGATGCCTAAAAAGTTCTGGGAGACTATAATTTTTGCTGATGAGAGCAAATTTAATTTGTTTGGATCAGATGGACGTGTCAATGTTTGGAGAAGACCTTATACAGGATTAGAAGAGCGAAATATGGTAGCAACAGTCAAACATGGTGGGGGCGGTGTGATGGTTTGGGGCTGTATGGCAGCGTCTGAAGTTGGTAAATTACATTTTATAGAGACTACCATGAACGCTCGTGTTTATATTGATGTCCTAAAACAAAACTTAAACCAAAGTGCTGAAAAATTGGGGCTGACTGGTGTATATAAGTACTACCAGGACAATGATCCAAAGCATTCTGCTTTTGATACACTGCTCTGGATGCTCTACAACTGCCCTGGAGTAATAAAAACACCAGCTCAAAGTCCAGATCTCAACCCAATTGAACATTTATGGTCAGAATTGGAAATCAAACTGCGTAAAATTCAGTTCACTAACAAACCACAGATGAAAGTCGCTTTAGAGAGTGCTTGGAATTGTTTAAGTCAAGAAATCACAAAAAAACTGGTTCATTCTATGCCAGATCGATTGAGAGCTGTTATAAAAAGCAAAGGAAAAGCAACTCGTTATTGAAATTTGATTTTCTGATACCTTTCTTGACACTTTTTTGGTTTTTCTGAAAGATTTTTATATTGTACGAAGACTTTAGTAACATTTTAAACAAGACCTTTTTCTTGTATCTAGGTTTTTTAAAGGGATTTTCTGAAAATATATTATTTTTCTTTTCATGTTGCATTAATTTTGATCTATAAAATAAATTTTGTACATAATTTCACCAAAATAACCTGAAAAAATGTATGAAAAATAACTACATTTATTGAAGGATTCACTGTACAAACACTTTTGTAACCCTCTGTATATAATAAAATATTATGTAATATATATATATATATATATATATATATATATATATATATATATATATATATATATATATATATATATATATATATATATATATATATATATATATATATAACCTTAATATTATCTAACCTTATCATTTTACTTATACTGTTATAAAAAGAGTTCAAGTATTAATCGCTCTGGATAAAATCAGTGTAAATTTAATTATATGTATAGATCAAACATCAAGCATAGTATATATAAATATAAACCAAACGTCTATTGATTATTCAAACATCAAGATGTTAATAGTCTTCATTAAATAGTGATCTTACATCGACTTTACTTCATTAAATAGTGATCTTACAACGACTTGCCTTTATTGACTACTGATTATTTCAATTGATTTAATGGAAGAAAAATTCAATGAAATAATTACTATCTTAATTAGAGCAAATGTTTCCACAATTTCTATCGTGTTGTTAAAAAAATTATACATATTTCTTAACAAGAACAAAAAAAAGTTGGGTAAGTAAATTTTAATTCAGTTAGTGTTTTCTCTGATTTGAAAACACTAAATTGATGAGAAATGGATATATCAATAAGATGTGTATTGTTACCTCTAAATTTTGCTCATTAAGAGGAGTAGTACATCTAAGATTTACTTTAGATTGTAGGTAATAGGTATTTATTTATGTATCTATTTGGTAATAGGTATTTATTTATGTATTCTATATGTAGGTAATAAATATTTATGTAAATATTTAAACTATAAAAAAGATTAGTTATTAAAATACTTGACTGTTAAAGTATTTTCTTTCAAGTGAAAAAAACATGTTTTATTTTCGCTTAGGATTTGTTTTTAAGCCAAATATCTAATATAATTAAGCAACAACAACAAAATTTTTTCAAAAGTGAAAATGTCTAATAAAAAGTGTCAAAATATTTATCAATATGTGTTTTAAAAATAGTTTATAAAATTGTATTGATATTATACATTAAGTTTTTTTGATAAAATTTTACAATTTATAATTTTTGGCCAGTTGAGTGATTAATAGCCCCTAGCCCATAGTTTTGGGGGTTTTGATTCAAAAAGATATTTTTAAAAGAGACTCTGAAAATAAAATCTTTGATTAATGATATGGACAAGGGATTACTGTTTTAAAATAGCCCTGGGCTGAGATGTCTTAATCCGCCACTCTCCAAAAGTAGTTTAACTTAACACAATATGGCATGTACAGCAGGTTAGGATGTGAAATAATCAACCCAGAGTAGTAGGCAAAATAAAGAGTAGTAGACAATTAAAGAGTTTTATGTGTTACTGTTTGTGTTTACTATTTTGTATATCTTTCTTCTTTTTCACAACTAATTTTGTATATCTTTCTCCTTTTTCACAACTAATGGGTCTTTTAGGAGAAATGCTTTGAAAAAAATCAATAATAATAATAACATGCAAACAAAGATTATTGCGTTAAAAAAAAATCGAAATTTTTTTTTAATACTTTCATGTCTTATAAAACATGGAAAGTATTATAATTTTTTAGCATGGTTCCTTTTATAGTCTTTGAAAATACTACTAAAATTTCAGTAATTATTTTTTATTATAAATAAAAACTAATATATATATATATATATATATATATATATATATATATATATATATATATATATATATATATATATATATATATATATATATATATATATATATATATATATATATATATAACTGTACATCTTTTATTCAATGAAAGACTATTTTAATGCTTTTATCCAAATTTTTTCATTTGTTGTTTTATATTTTAAACAAAATTAAGCTACAAAGATTAAATTTGCTTCTCCATCTTCTTTCGTTTCTAAAAGTTTCAATGAAGTCTTGACTAAAATTAATAGCACATTCTGCACTGTAATGTAGAACTGGTTTTCAACCATTCTATCTCATAAAATGTCTTTTTTAACATATCAAGAAAAACCCGTTTTCAGGTCCAAAAAATCTTTAATTGTAATATAACTAACAGGCTTAGCTGTTTGTGCTAATTCATGAGCTATTTTATGTAATTAATTTACAGATTTTTTTTTAAATTTTTTAAAATTTTAATTCACCTCCTTAAGGCTGAGAAGGCCACTACAGACGAGGAGGCTACTTATTTTGTGGCTATAACCCTCTCTCAACTCTATAACTCCGAAACAAGAACCTTGACAAACAAGGCCGCTGCGCGGAGAACCGAGTTGAGCGCGGTACTACCAGGGATGTGGTGGGGATCGAACCGGGAACCACTCGTTTATGAAGCGAGCACTCTACCACTACACCAATACCGCATAATAGATAATAAAATAGATAAACATTTATCAGCTAGGAACATAGCCACAAATCTTTCATTTAAATACCAACTGTGTTTTTAAAGTGTCTTTAGCACATATTTCACGAACCAGCTTTCCTTATTGCAATGATATTATATTAGGACACAAACTACTGATTTGTGGCTGAAGATGATTGTATGTTAATAATTCCCTGTGACATAAATCTGGCATGGTATAAAGCCATCGGCTATCTTAAACTAACCTTATCTTAATTGTTTCTGCCTTAAAATACTTTCCCTAGAAACTGAATAACCATCAAGGGTTCATGAACTGTTATTTATAAAAAAAATTTTGTACTCAGTGTAGCCCAACCTATTCTGAATCATAATTCAGTTTGAGCTAAATTTTTCTCAATGCTT